CTTTTGGCAGCTGCTGCACACAGCTGGCTCCTATTTAAATGGTTGTCCACTAGGACTCCAAGATCCCCCTCACAGTTTCTACGATTGAGGAAGGTACCACCTATACTGTACCTGTGCATTTCATTTTTCTTGCCTAAAGGTAGAACCTGACTCTTTTCACCATTGAATTTCATTTTATTAGATAGCGCCCAGTGTTCCAGTCTGTCATTTTTGTCATTGACGTTTCATTCTGTCCCTCCTTTGGCATCCTTGGTCAGAAGTTGGGATGTTGGCCATGGCAACAGGAAGGCTGCAAGGGCCCGTTGAAGATGGCAGTTGGCTTCAGAGGCGTCCCGACTCCCTCGTCCTCCTCCTGGGATGAAGAAAGCGACTCCCGGCTTGGTTTTCTACACCCAGCCGGCTTCAGCGAGGCTCCCTGTTCCTGCTCAGCCGCATGTACCTCAAGGCCCGCTTCCGGATGTCTCTGGTCCTGGCCCCATAGACAATGGGGTTGAGCACGGGGGGAACCAGGAGGTAGATGTTGCTGGTGACGGCCTGGAGCAGAGGAGACACATCTGGCCCGTACCGGTGGATGACGGAGAGGCTGATCAGGGGCACGTAGAAAGCCAGGACCATGCACAGGTGGGCCAGGCAGGTGCCGGAGGCCCGGAGGCGCTGCTCCCAGGAGCTCAGCCGCAGGACGGCCTTCAGGATCAGCAGGTAGGAGACGAGGATGAGCAGGAAGTCCAGGCCCATCACCAGGCTGATGGCGATCAGGCCGTAGACGATGTTCATGTTCAGCTTCTGCTTGTCGCAGGCCAGATTCATCATGTCTTGGTGGAGGCAGTAGGAATGGTGGAGGGGCCTGGAGGGGCAGAAGGAGAGGCGGCTGAGGAGGAAGGGCAGCGGAAGGAAGAAGACCAGCCCCCTCACCAAGGCCACCGCGCCCACTTTGACCGCCACAGAGTTGGTGAGGATGGTGGAGTACTGGAGCGGGCGGCAGATGGCCACGTAGCGGTCCACGGCCATGGCCAAGAGGATGGTGGACTCCATGCCCGAGAGGGAGTGGATGAGGAACATCTGGAGGAGGCAGGTCCCGTAGGCGATCTCCTTGGAGTCCAGCCAAAGGAGGGAAAGGACCCTGGGCATCGTGCAGGAGGCCAGGACCAGGTCCACCCCTGCCAGCATCCCCAGGAAGAGGTACATGGGCGTGTGGAGCCTCGGCTCGGCTTTAATCACCAGCACCACGATGGAGTTGCCCACCAGGGCCACCACGTACATGGCGCACAGGGGGAAGGCCAGCCAGAAGTGGGCAGCTTCCAGGCCGGGCAAGCCACTCAAGATGAAGGGGGAGGAGGGGCTGCCCAGGCTCTCGTTGGTGAAGGTCACTGCCTGGGTGGCATCCGGAGGCCCCGTGCTCAGCTCTGCGGAAAGGGAAGAAGGCAGAGTTGGTAACCTGGGGGAGGCAGGGGGCTCCCTGCTCCCTCCCTCCCTCCCCCCCCACAGGAGCGCCCATCCCTGCAGAGGAACTCGGTGGGGGGGTGTCTGGCCCTGCGGCTCTTGGGGGGGGGGACATCAGCAGCCAGGGGGCCAGGAAGAGGGAGGCCAGTAGAGGTGCCTGACCAGCTAATCCCAGGGACTTTGCTTGCCAGAAGGTCCAAAGGGGGATCCCGTCACTCTTGGACATAGCAACCGTCATAAATGTGAGTCAGTTGCCTCTGAATGTTGCTCTTGTGACCATGGGGATGCTACAACGGTCATAAGGGTGAAAAACGGTCATAAGTCGCTTTTTTCATTGCCGTTTGAACAGTCATTAAATGAGGAACACCTGGATCCTGGTGGAGGGGATGGGTGGAGGATTAAAGAGCCCCCCGTTCGGTTCTTCCTCAGCCATGGAAACTCTCTGCTTCACCCTCTCGCAGCCCAGCCCACCCCGCAGGGTTGTCGCAGAAGGGAAAAGTGGGGAAGGAAGAACTGGGACTCTCTGAGGGACGGTGGGGGTGGGGGTGTCTAGGCATTCCCACCTTCGACTCTCAGTGTGCCCATGAGGCGGGCGTGGGAAGAGCCACATCAGCCCCTCCCACACCGGCACCCAGAGCAGCCCCCGCCTCCCTTTCGATCGGCAGCAGAGAAGCAAAGGGAAATGCAGCTGCAGCCTTCCGATATCTGAGGGGCTGAGCCCCAAAAGACGGGGGTCCACCTCTTCTCCAAAGCCCCTGAAGGCCGGAGGAGGAGCAACAGGGGGGGGGACTCATCCAGGAGAGAAGCAACTT